TTTCTTCCGTATTCAAGGCTCGATTTCGATCATCGATCGAAAAGTTAAGAAAAAGGCGAAAAAATAAAGGGACGTAAAAACGTCAATATAAGTATCTGATTAAAAACGTGATTCGATGTATCGTGGAAAACGGAGGGATCGAGGGAAAAACGCGTGCCATCGCGCGAGAGATCGATTCCGAGATCCGTTTCCATCCGACAACGGAATCGAAGAGACAGAGAGAGAGAGAGAGAGAGAGAGAGAGAGAGGAGAGTATGCGTTGTTCGCGAGGGTGGCAGAAGAAGCGCGGGTCGAACGGTTCTCGGAAAGTATAGTCGATCCCTGTCCCTCGTCCACGCTTATCTGTCCCTCCTCCTTTATCTCGGACGACGTCTCATGCCGTGGCTCGCGGTGAGAAACGTTCTAGGCTCTTCGACGCGATATGCGGCATGCATATAAATTGATACCCATAACCATAACTTATTCGACATATGTACCCAACCCAGTACTGGGAACTCCGGGCGTCCGATAAAAACCGGCATAAATTAAAACGCGTTATTACGTTATACGACGCCCGGCGAGTCTTAATTGATTGCCATTGCTCGCGCTCCCTTCACCCCCTTTTGTCGAATCTCTCCTCGTCCGATCTCTCTCTCTTTCTCTCTCTCCACGTCAATTTCGTGCTTGTTTCGTGGCCGGTTACGATCGTTCCGCTATATTTAAGTAAGTCACTCACCGAGTAAGGGGAAAAAATCGATTCGAATGTAATTTGCTACCGTGGGCGTTTGTTGCACTCTCTCTCTCTCTCTCTCTCTGTCTCTCTCTGTTCGGTACAAGGGGGTTCGGGACGAGAGAAGAGGAGGATCGTTATTCGAGATTCTTTCACGATTCGTTGACGTTTGATTGATGTACGATAGGTCGGCTCTTTTCTTGCGATCGTTTTCGGTAGTCGTTGGAAATGGGAAATATTGGATAAATAGTGTCCATTAATTAACGACAATTAACGAGGAAACGATTTCGACGAGTCAATCTTTTTTTCTTATTTAAATTTCCGACCACGTCCTCCGCGAGTCCCGAACAAACCTGAAAATTTCCGCGGCGATCGCAAATATCATCGATATTTAGAGAAGGAAGGTTTTTGTCGCTTTGACATTTTCGCGTTGGCCGCGAAATTTCGAATGCTAATTCACCGACCGAAACTAGAAACGTTATCGGCCTCGATCGACCGGCCGAAACTCGAGCGTCCTCTTGCGAAACAATTCGTGAAAATAATTTCATCCATCTCTTTCATCCGTCGTTCCATTCGAAAGAAAATTTGAAGAAATTGGAAAATGGAGGGGAGGAGGAAGAGGAGATGATAAAACTCGTCGATGATATTAATTGGCGGCGTAATTAGTCCCGGTGATCTTTCCATTTGTCACAGAGAAAGAGGGAGGGGGACTCGCGATTACTCCCCTAAAAAGTATGGGCCGATTTATGGGCCGGTCGGATCCCTTTCGGGGATACGTGCATCTGGACGAATTTTGCGGGCGTGTGGTCACACGTACGTGTGGAGTCGCGGCGCGGCCCATATATTATACAAAGTTTCTCCCATCTCCGTTCCCTCTCCGTCGTCCGGCGAATCGCGTGGATACCCGTACGGGGAAGACGAGTCAATATCTCTCCCCACGTGAAGCCGCGGGCAGGTAAAAATGTCTCAACTTGGGTGCCCTGCCTCGTCCTGGACGCTCCTTTTGCTCCCTTTCTTCCCAGGCCCTCTCCTTCTCTCCCCTATCTATCTATCTTCCGCCGAGGGCGGCTGCCTCCTTCCTTCGGAGGAGGGCAGCCGTGGGGAGGAAACGAGAGGGGAACGTAGCGGAACGAGATGGATGGACCGTTCCTTGTTTCTGCGCGGTGTTTAAAAGTGGCGAATGCCGCGACCACTCTGCCCGTAGTTAGACTAATGATCAGGCCCGACGTGTGCGACGGCTGTTGAGTTTCGGTTTCCTCGTCCGCCGCTCTTCCGCTCTTTAACTCCTTTCACCACGGACAATTCTCCTCGCGAGCAGAGTTTCGTTCGGGTTACCATGGCCTATTACGATTACGACTTTCTTTCCATTCTTTCGTTTCTTCGTTCGTTCGATCGATCATTTCGAGAAATTTGATCGTTTCGAGAGCGGGTCATCGGGAGAGAGAGAAATATTAAATTATAAGAAGTGGAAATATTTGAGGGGGGGGGGGAAAAGTAAATTAGTCATCGAAACGATTCTCTTCGAAACGGTTAAAGATACACGTTTCTACGTTTCAAATTTCATCTCGAAATTAAAAAACCTTGGTAATTTCGGTAAACCTCGGCCAAGGACGCTCGATCGATCGAGGGCGCAATTATGCAAAGTATATACGTAAAAGGCTGCAAACGCGGCGGGGCGATCTTTACAGGGAAAGAGACGATATTCCCACGGTCGATGCCGCTCGAACGATCGTCCTTCCGACTCTAATAATCCAACCCAAATCGAAAGTTGTCGAACTGTGGTGGTGGTGGTGGTGGGATCGATTCATCGTCGATCAACCCGCGAAACTAGTTGCATCTCCTAGAAACGGTTCACGGATATTTCCAGGAAAATATCGCAAGAACGAAGAACCGTGTGGAGCGTTCCTACGAAAAGAGGAGAGAGAGAGAGAGAGAGAGAGAGGAGGAGAGGCACGGTCGGAGAGTTGCTTCGATCTCCTCCTCTCTATCCTCTCTTTCTCTTTCCGAGTTCTCGCGTGTGCATGTTACTACGCTACGGGTGGAACGAGGAGGAAGCAAGATTCGGGAGAAGATCAGGACCTCTGTTCTCTCTCTCTCTCTCTCTCTCTCTCTCTCCCTCCCTCCCTCTATCTCGAAGAGGATGATCGGAGAGTTAAAGAGAAGAGGAGGAGAGGGGCGAGAGAAAGAGTAGGATGTCGGTGGTGGGGTAAAAAACAAAAGTCCAGTCGGTCGTGGAGCGGTCCAGGATGGTCCCAAGCTATTCGGGACCACCCCGAGAGCCGAGGGGTCCAGCTCGGCTCGCGGCAATCAGGTGCCGTTGGAATGCGACCGTCCGGAGAGAAAAACAAAACAAATTTTTATGCCCTCGTCCTCCCATCTCCCTTCTTTTCGGCTTTCTCCTTCGCTTTTGCCCCTCTCTCTCTCTTTATCCCTCTCTCTCTCTCTCTCTCTCTCTCTCTCTCTCTCTCCCCCCTTCTTCTCTAGCTCTTCCCCTCGTCGTGAGTCGGCCTCCTCGGGAGAAACATTAGGCATTACTTAAGGGGGTCCCACGGCTCCTCCTTATGCTATGCCCGGATACCACAACGTGGAGGAACAAGGGTACCTACTGCTCCCTCCTTCCTTCCCTTTCCGCTCCCCCCTGAGAGAGAGAGAGAGAGAGAGAGAGAGAGGGGAGAAGGCGCTCGCTTTGGCGGTAGAAAAAAGGACCATTTCACGCTGCGAATTGTCCACGGCTCGTTTCTGGACCCCTCTCATTTACGAGGGTAACGATTCCCTTATCGATCTCGTGCCGGAACGAGAGGATAGCCGGTTATCGGTGTCGGGTATAGGGTATACACTACCATCCGTTTCGACCATCCCTTCCTCCGAGTCTTCGTTCGATCGATGGGGATCGGGCGGAGAGAGAGAGAGAGAGAGAGAGAGAGGGGGGGGATTTTTGCGCGAGGGGATTGAGACGCGAGCGAGGAGATCCAAGTTGTTTCGGGGAAAATTGATTTGAAGCCGTGAACGAGCGTGGAATTACCGTCGATGGTTGGTGAGGGAGGGGAGGGTGGAACACGGTCGTTGATCGATGTTTGTCGAAAGTCGGATCGCTACTTTGGAACGATACGTCTTTTTTTCCTTGGGGAAAGAGGAGGTTCGTCCAGGGCCACCTCGTTGCGAACCACCTCGAGTCGGTGGTATATGCGCTTCTTCTCTTTTTCTCTTTCTTCTCTTTCCGCTCCTTTTCTTGCCTCTCGTCTTCCCCTTTTTTTTTTCTTTTTCTTTTTCTTTCTCGTTCTTCCCTTTCTCTTCGGCCGTGTAATTAATTAAGGGTTTCGTAATCTGATCGCAAGTAACCGCATTTGCGCGTGTTACGTTGTTCGAGTTTTAACGATCGAAAATGGAAATTCTTCGAAGATCATTTCGAAGACTTTACCTTTTTATCTTGGGAAATCAATTTTTGCAGAGCGAACGAGAAAAATTTGGTAGAACGCTCGTTTCGCGCGTTTAGAAATAGAATTTAAAGAGTGCGGTTTAGAGAGTGGATATTTTTTGGGATGGAATGGAAGGAATCCCAAGGCGATATCTGGACGACAATTAGGGACGACGGGGTTCAAAATTTATCGTAAGTGAACAGGTTTTGCTCGGTGAACCGAGCATTATCGAGATTTTCGACCTTTTCCCAAACTTCCATTTTTCCTCGTCAAAGAGAAGAAGAGAAGATAGATAACGTCTAAAGGCTATTTACCGGACGACAAAGGGAAAACGGGAGAGAAATAATTACTTTTAAACGAGGAAAGTAACGAAAACGAAATCGAGCCTACTCTTTCTCTCTTCGAGTATAAAATATCATACTCGATATCGACTATGATCGTGATCGTCGAGCATTACTCCAAGAATTAACGAACGAATCTACAATTCATCGACGGTCATCACGCTTCTCTCTTGTTTGGGAGAGATATAATCTCTTTACCCGAACTTGTAATTGCATCGAACAATAACGATCCGTTTTTACTTCCCTTTTACCATTCTCTCTCTCTCTCTCTCTCTTGCAATCCCATTACAATCGCATTATAGACAGTATCGCGTTCTAGAATCTATCTACGACATAAAAATCCATCCACATTTACAAGGAAGGAAGGAATTTGTCGGAAAGAATTCGATCCAGCCGATCGATAAAGAGCAGAAGAACGATTTGCGAACATGGCATTCGACAATCCCCTCAGTCGTAAACGAACTACGTTTTCGAACGATCGTTGATCCCTGGTTGCTGGCCCGGTTAATGAGACGCTTTTTTCTCGATCCGCAGATCATCACGTTGCCGGAGTGAGGCACGAGCGCGGCAAAAGGCTCTGGTTTGACGTCTCCGAGGTACCACCCGGGGAACACATAATCGGTGCAGAGCTCAGGCTCTATCGCAGCATGGACGTGAAGAATCGGAGGAATCGTGGATCGTACATGATCACGGCCTACCGGGTATTGAGAACCGAAGACGGGTGAGTCTTGTTTTGCATCCCATTTTTCACAAATTCGATATTTTATAATACAGAGAATTATATATATATATATATATATATAAATATGTATACAAGGAAGTATATGGTTGAAAAATATGGCGAATCGTGTTTTTTTTTTTCTTTCTTTCTTTCTTTTCGTCGAGCAAGTTTGCAATGAAATTCCTGTCTTCCCTTAATGTAATTGTCGTGTCGGCAATTAGAAGGTTTCGGTTCCCGGAAAAGTGTATCCAGGTATCGGTCCTACCTGCACTCAACTCTGGTTGACTGGTGTTCCCAGACCGGGGAACGATAGTTTCGAGTTTGATCTTTGAACCGCTTAGCGAGGAGGAGGGAAGGTCGGTGGTGGAAAAACGGTACTCCTTCGCTCTCTCCTCTTCTTTCTTCACGAGGTTGTCAGCAGGAGAGTGGCAGGGTGGGTGGCTGGCCGGCCGGCCGGCTAGCTAGACCAATTTCGTGTTCGCCTTCGGCCAGAGTCCGTGGTTTTTGACATCGTCATCGTGCCTCTAATTAGGCCGTCCTTAAGTCGCCGAAAAAATCTCAGGTATTTGTTCTACCTGTGAGAGTTTCGAGGACCAGCCCACCCGAATCTCTCCTCCGATTCTTTATTCTTTCTCATTCATATCCAGGGCCGTCCACCGACGATTCCTTTCCAGAACTCTTTCATCAACTCTTTCCATCTATATTATTTCTCGTTCCAAATTCCAAATTGAACTCAACGTACGCGATACATACATTTCGACGATCGATAAACCATCGTTTAATAAATTATCGTAGTTGAAAAAGAAAATGGAGCAAAAAGCAGTGGAAGCGATTGGATCCCTCGTTTGGAACGTGCACGCGTCCGTTTGGAAGAGGTGGAAGGGCGGCGTGGCGGATGGCGACAGCTAGTCTAGAGCCATCCCTGTGCCCGATACCTCCGTAGACTTTGGTACTGCGACCTGACCGATATACAGGCCCCCGACAGGAAACGCTATTCCGTAAATTGAGGTAAATTAGCCGTGGAGACGGGCTCCGAGCTCCGGAGAGTTAAGAGCTCCACGAGTTACTTGGCCGTGCCTACGCAGTTACACGCACGCACAGAGCCCTCTCTCCACCACCACCACCACCACCACCACCTCCTCCATCATCTTCCTCCTCCTCCTCCTCCTCCTCCTCCTCCTTCTACTTTTCTTCTTCGCCTTCTTCCGTCAAACTCGATGCGTGACGCATCCTCCTCCACCTCTTTATCCTCCTCCACCTTCTGTGGTCCAGCCGAGACAAGCTGGCGACTCTGGTTTCTTACGTGTGCGCGCCAGCCAGGTTTCCATAAGAGCTCCCTTCCCCCTCCCCTCGTCGCGGGGGTAGGGATACCACCACGCAAGAGCGCGTCAGCTGTCTATGGAACCACGGATAAGAGGAATCCGACTCCGACGAAAGTCAGACAGTGACACTTGCCTCGTAACGAGGCTCAGGGTCTCGTGCTTTTAGACTCAATTAGGGATTCGTCAATTTTTCTCAACAGCGGCCGGTTTCTTACGAGATTTCTTCTTCTTCTTTTTCTTCGTTACGCTCGGTCATCGAATCGCCCGATTTTGGAAATCGTTATCGTATCGTTGGATTGATGGAATATATGATTAAATTTAAGAAAGGTTAAAATTCATTCAATGATTCGTGTAAAAATTAATTTTTCGAAATTGAATTATGGGAAGGAAGGGGAATATAGAGAAGCGAGTTTGTTTTTTTAAAGTTTTTAGAATAATTTAGAATAATCGATAATTAAAAATTTCAATTAATTCTTCAAAATTTTTACGAATTGGAAGAAACTTGGTTGTTGTTATATAGGTTAAGGAGAAATTGATTTAATATATAGGTTGGACGATCATTAGTCCGCTGTCACGGATAATTATCGGATTTTATAAGATCGAAACGATGTACGTTTTATCTCGAATTAATAATTTCTGGATGATGAAATTGAACAATTGACGCGTTCTCGTTGCTCGTCGATTGTTTTTTCAGGCAACTCGCATTCAACAAATTGTTAAGATTCAATTAGTTATTCAGTCATAGATTAATGGTATTCAATTTGCCGCGGAAATAATGTTCTCTTCGATGTATTACGATGTAACGGCTGTGCTTTGAAATTCAAATATATACATAACACCAACAGGAAAGCTAAAAGTTGATTGATAACCGCGTGATTTCTTCATCATCGGATTCTTGCGTTCCTCGATGCACAGCTGCGCGATGCTAAAATCTATTCGATCCTTTACTACTTTGGAATTCAACGATTCATTCCTAGCCGAGCATGCAAAACGATCTAAGCAATCGCATCTCTGTGTTCGGAAGAATTCGTTTCGAACAAACAAACAAAATTTTTCTTAACAAATAAATCTTAACAAATAAATATATGTATATACGTATACATCGTTAAAATCATTCTTCGCAAAAATCGACAAATTTTAGCAAATATTACTTAACAAAAAAAAAAAAAGAAGAATTTAATTAGATAAATAACAATAATAATAATAAATAACAATAAAAAATTGTTCGAAACGGTGTAAAAATATGGATCGTTGTTAAAAAGAAAGAAAAAAAGACGAAAAAAGAGGATGAGAAAGAGGAGGTGAAAAATAATAGCGCGGATGTTTGTGCTGGAAGATAATGCGCACAATCGACGGTGAAAAAAATTTATGCAGGAACGTGGAGGATTCATCCGTATACATTTTTAGCGTTCCCAATTATTCAATTACGAGAACGATAATCAGTCCCGGGAAAAAGATAAATGCGTCGTTTAAGGAATGTGTTATAGTCCGCGGGGATCAGAGGTGAGATCCCCGTTCCCTCAATGAACAATGATTAGTGTGTTTCACTGAAATCTTATATATTGACACGAGGCACGCGCAATGGATGGATTTGCGCGAATCGTCGAGTCACGATCCGTGGAGGAATCACGGGGGCGAGGAGCCCCGTCCCCTCGCGTATCTCGGTTTAGCATCGTTCCATCCTCGTTACGTAAGGATTCGATTTCCTATTGATCGATTTTATCGATGAGTTGCGCGCCTCGAAACCGTGCAACCGTTCCTATTAGAGAAACAATATACGCCTTTGACCGTCTAACGTCGTTTCCTGCTCTTTGCCAATTAACACTCTTCGTCCTTATCGTCGATTCCCAGATCCCGTACACTTGGCCGCAAAAGCTAATCGAGCGCTCTTTTTTTCTTTTCTCTTTCTTCCAACTTTCCATCTCTCGATCGAAAGAAAAAGAAAAATAAGATTTCGAAAATTCGAGAGATCCGATAAAACTTTCTCTATCGAAAGAAAAAAAAAAATAAGATTTCGAAAATTCGAGAGATCCGATAAAATTTTCCATCTCTATCGAAAGAAAAAGAAAAAATAAGATTTCGAAAATTCGAGAGATCCGATAAAACGTTTTACGCGACACGACGAAGGAAACGTTGATTTAAATATTCGAGCGATCTGCTATTTCTTTTTTCTCTCTTTTCGTATTTCGTATTTCGTTATCTCGATCGTTTATTATTTATTTTTCGCGCGAATTCGGTAATTTTCGCGGACGTACGCGGAGTAAGAAAAATATTTGAAGTTTGGTTCGCGGAGAGGTATTGGTAAAGAAGATGTTTGTTTTGATCAGCGAGATAATTCCCATGTGACGTGTGTTTTCTGCTCGCTGTCCACACATACTGCGTGTTAACGTAATGAGTGACGCGAGTTTTTCCTTGATATATGCAAGGAAAATTGCATAGATATTAGTGACACCGAGCATTTAGCGGCTAATGCGTTGCAATGCTTACCAGCTTATTGTTAGTCAGGAGGTAACATTAGAGCTGGAATAGGATGTTTGACACATTGTTTTGAAAGCCTAATATGCCTATAATTTTGCTTCGCTTATTTTCCAACCGTTGTAAACGTGAATGAATTTATTTATTTTTCTTTTTTCTTTCTTTCTTTCTTTTTTTTTTTTTCTTTTTTTTCAACAAGGAACGAAAAAAGGATTTCTAACTTTTCGATATCTTCTCCAGAAAAGAAAGAAAATAGATATAGATTTACACGATTGAAATTTTTAACAATTTGTTGTAGAACAAGGGAGTTGCAATACGTAGACGCAGTGAACACGACGACAGGAAAGGAAGGGTGGTTGACTTTAAATATTAGCGAATCCCTCTCCCATTGGGTGAATAATCCTGATGGAAACAAGGGATTATATCTGTCGGTACATCCCGCGGATCGTTCTGGTGAGTAAAAAAAAAAAAAAACAAAAAAAGAAAGTCTACCATTTTTCGTTTATTTTCATATTCTCTCGTTTTCACAATCTTTTTTTCTAAAATTAAAGCGAAGAAAACGTATTCGATACAACGTGGAGGGCTAATTTTAAAACGTCTGTGATTTATCTTTCGATAAGTCTGTGAAGCATCGAGGAGGAACGGTACTTCCTGTGCACTTGCCAACTTCAATGCGATCAACACGATACATGTTTCCGTTTATATTTCACGAGAGATTCGTCGTTTAAGAATTTTGTTCAAAGTTTGCCAACTTTTGTGAACTTTCCTCCACCAACCTTGAAAAGTTTCAAATGCCACGAAGAATCAACGAACGTTTCATTCCATAAATTCCACTTTATTTCTCAATGGATTCGTATAAATGGAATTTTATTATGCCAAACTTTGACAAGTTCCATATCTCTAACGATGATCTCTTTTACTTTAATTATACGAATTTTCGATGGACAAATTGAATTCTATTATTCGCTATTAACTTTGAAAATTTTTAAATTTTATCTCGCTTCGAAGAATCGATGAACTTTTACCCGGCAAACTCTTAGCTATTTTAAACGAACCATTTCATTCATTTCTCGACGAATAAATGGAATTCTTTTTATTCGCTAACTTTGAAAAATTCCAAATCTCTCCATGCCTCGAAGAATCGATGAATACTTATTTCATAAACTCTATTTCTCGGTCGTATATATAATTCGTAATAAATGGAATTTCGCTGAAATCTTAAACTTTTCATTCCTCGATCTAAACAAAAAAAAAAAAAAAAAAAATAAAGATACTTTCGAAAATCGGAAAGATAAATCGAAAAGTACGCTTGCGGATCATTTTACACGACACACGAGAGAGAGAGAGAGAAAGAGAGACAGAATGCGCGCGTTCGAACAACACACAAGAGGCGGCGCACGCTTCGTATCGTGGCAATAGATCGTGGCTAATAAACTTACTTCGGGGTCACAAGTTCGACGCGGTGAATTCCGATCGTTTCTTGTACACCTGGCACCCGGAGAAGGATGTGTACGGGATATATGCTTTCTCGAGCGTACACCTGTTCCACGCTCTCACTCACCGACGCTGAAAAGCGTTCCTCGCTCTCGTACACCGTGTCTCGCCCCCTATGTAACACCGATCCGCTAGCGATGGCTTCGTACCAGGCCTGCCTCTCCACCTTTCCGCTCCATTTCTCTTCCTACGATCTCGCTCGTGCACGCGTCCAATCCGTTTCAACCGCCATCATTTTCCATTTCCCATCCTCCGCCTCGCCCCCCCCCCTCCCCCCCGAGTCTTCGTCCATCCTATCGCCCGACCCAACAACGTTTCTGCTACGAAAGTGTGAAAACGTTGTTTCGACGGATTCGAGCGAATATTGATTTTTAATTAAATACTCTCGGCTACTCTCTGATTTCGCGAAATACGACAAAACTTTGAAACTTTCGAAGGAAAAAATTGCAAAGAATCATAAATGTGTGTAAAGATCGTTCGACCAACAGGTTTTTCTCCTGTCGAAATAGAGGTAAGAGAAACGATTAGATTTTTCGGGTAGTAGTGGAAAAAGAAAAAAAAGGAGGGTAAAAGAAGAATCGTTGAGACGTTGCTCGGTCCTCGCGAGTTTTCGTGCGTCACTCGAGGTCCTTCCTACTCGAGGCAACCACCACGAATACATCATCGAGAGACGAGAGAGGCCAAGCCGTGGCGTCGTCTTGTCTTCCTATACTGGCGAGATGCGCGTGCGTGGGATATTCAGCCCGAGGAACGGACGAAGCGGGACGGCGGGACCACGTTCGAGGAACGAGGAACGAGAGAAAGAGAGAGGCATGAACGGGAGAGTGGAAGACCCAGATGGTGAGATAAGGACGCCCCTGAATCCAATTCTGCCACCGAATCTCAGATGAGAATCGTCGCGAGCCGTACGAGGCAAGATTACCTCGATTCGATCCTTCGGATAAGGTACACCTGTTGCCCTGCCCCACGAACCGATCGGCTTTAGATCATTGATGATTTTCCTTCCCTTCCACCGACGTTCTTCTCCTTCTCCTCCTTCCTCTTCTTCTTCTTCTTCTTCCTCTTCTTTTTCTTCCTCTTCTCCGCTCGCCTGTGGGAATGTGGTAGCCTTGCCCGATTAAATCTCATCTCGGGATAACGCACGAAAAACAACCCGGCCACGAACATCTCGGGCTAATATTCTCGGTGAACACGTGTTTTCTCTCGGTGTATCCGACCGGGAGAAAAAGTGGCAAGATCCATCGATGATCTTTATATCGGGCTTCGACTCTTAAGGAGTTGTTGCTGCGCGAGATGAACAGGTTTTTCGAGAGCCGTTTCGTACCTTCTTTAAAAATCGTTCTTTAATCGCTCTTTAACGATACCTTGCCCGTTGGGAACGTTGGGAAAAATCGCAATCGAATTTTCTCCGACTATTAAACGTAATTCGCTCAAGTAACCATCCTTCTTCACACGTCCAATTTCTCATCGAGTCGAAAACTCACGATTCTTGCGCGGCATTTTATCCCACCTACGAGTCCACGTACGTACGTATTCGCGTGCGCGATCCACTTTGCTCCGCGTAGAACGAATGGATCGAAAACCGATCGCGTTCGATATTCTGAAGAATGAGAAACGATCGAGATAGGGCGGCTCGCATTAACGAGCCAGCAAATTGGATCACGATCGTTGAATAATTGGATAATAGTAGAATGCTTTACATCACGTCCCACCTAATTTCGTTGCACACAATTCGCGCGCCGATTCACCGACCGGGGAATACTCGTTGCGCCGTCAAATTATTAAATTATCGTTTTTCCACGCGCACGAATTGGAACGATATTTCAAGTAGAGAAATCTCAGTTTTTCGTCGAGACATGTCGAAAAGCCTGTTCGATTTTTATCGATCCGATTCAACGTCCGATCTCTCATCCTTTTCGGCCGGAAAAAAAAAAGAAGGAAATTAAATTTTCTTTTTTATCGAAAACAAGCGACGATTTACCTTTACCTCTTCCTGAAATTTCAACCATCTTCTAACTTCCTTCTAACGCGAAGGAATACCATCGAATTATTTAATTTCCCATGGTTAAACTAGTTTGACATACCGGCAGAACTAGTATCTTCTTCCTCTCGACTCGATCCTTAATGCCGAGATATTACGCACACAAAAAAGGTACAAGCGTCGAACACTTGACGCCTAAATCTACTTCGCGTATTGTACGATGTTGAAAAGAACAAACACGAGCGTTAAATACTTCACATCTGAACATCTTTTCTCGAGCACTATTTAAAAACCGCAATTCATCCCGTCCCCATGATTCGAAGATCGTTCTCTTCCCTACGAAGGGAAGCTCGAACGAGAAAGAAAGAAAGAGAGAGAGAGAGAGAGAGAGAGAGAGAGAGAGAGAAAAGAAAACAAGAAAAAAAAGAGAAGAAGGAAGAGGGAATAAAAGTCAAACGAAGGCAGCAACTACTAACGAGCCAACCAGACGAACCGAGTTCAAACCGAGTCATTTCGTTCGATGTCTCAGTTTGTCGAGATCTCCCTGTCGGATCGAGAGAATCGAATTTTAAAAATTTTTCCAAATTATTTTCTTATTTTCTTATTTTCTCGTTGTTCACGAGAAAAAAAGAAACAAAGAAAAAAAAATCATATCGCAATCGACTCTAAACAACGTCGACTCGCTCGTCTATTAACTCGACTCGATTACGTACGAAAACAAACTCGAAGTCGAGTTACCTATATACGGATATCGAAGCGACTCGACTCGATCGAACGAGGACTGAGAAACGAGCGTTTGATGGATACCTAGCGTTGTTCGGTGATCGTGGAGGAACGGCGCGTGTCTAGCTTGTAATCCTTGTATCCTCGCCGCGATACACGCTGCTCACGGTAACACCTGAGAAGTCTGGCATTATAACGACATCGTGGATATGAAACGAGGCATTGGGACCACGTACGCGTACATACACGCGAGAACGCTTGAAACGTCCCGGTGTGCGTGCGTACGGTTTGTTGTTTGCCGCGCCTAGATCATTTTGTTGCTTGCCTCTCTCACCTCCTCCCCCCCCCCCCCCCACCCCGGTTTCTCTCACTCCCCACATCGATCCTCCTCCCCTCTCCCCACCTCTCGCACCTGTATGTTTTCTCTCTTTCTCGCTTCTCTCCACTTCTCTGCTCCTCTCGTTCGCGAGCACAACCGGTTTACCTTTGATCATTCAATATAAAACACAAGATCGGAGGCGCGCACACCTCTGCGCGCGTTCACGCGCACACAGGTGAAGCCACCGCGCACACATATATATATATATATATATATATAT